AAGGGCGCAGCGTTGTGGCGCGGATGCGGCGCACGGGACTTGTGCGTAGGCGTCGCGCGTGCGCGTGGCACACCGACGTGGCGCATGGACATTCGCGCACGGATGCCACGCGCGGGCGCTGCTGTGCACGGGCGCTGCGCGCGGACGCGGGGGGGGGGGAAGGGCGCGAACAGAGCGGGGTCGCGATGGAGTGGGGTCGGGCGGGATGAGGGGTGGCGGTAGGGGCGGGAGGGGGAGCGGCGGGGGGGCTAAAATTGCGCGATGCAGGCGCGCCGTAAAGTTCGCGTAGGATGAATACATTAAAGCATATGGCGATCCACATCAAAATAGCAACGACGCCTTAACAGTCGCGGCAAACGAAGAAGAGCAGCGCTGGCTGTGCATTGGACAAGGTAAGGAGGTATATTGCACTGGTACACAAGAGTTATGATTAGTTGCAGGAGCCCGCGTAGAGCAAAGCCTCATGGGGGGAGCGGGCATTGGATAGATTCGACAGGAAATGTGCACGTGGTCTGCGCATGCGGATTGGGCGTTGAGTTGCGCTGTGCTACCGCGGTGACATTTGCGTCGTGGACGCCGCCATGGCGGCCGCGTGTGTTACGAAATCTACGCGTCGAGCCCTGAGGAGACGCCCGCGTCGAACTCGGTCTTGCCGCCCTTTGCACCACCGTTACATGTGGATAGCGCCTGGCTGGCGTTTGAATATGCCAGGGTGAGGCGGGATGAGCTGCGGGGTAGGTTTGCGGACCACGCTAATGCTACGAATCGCACGGCGCAGGATAGTTGCAGAGATGCGGTTGACCTTGACCACAGCATGTGTAGGAGTTGGGGTTGGAGAGGGGGCGGTGGGGCACGTTAGTGCAGAGTGGATCTTCAACGCTCTAAACATGCATAAAACGAAGCCAGCGTAGTGTCTAAATATAATTGGGTGTAATAGAACCTAGTGCCTCCAGCGAAAATGGAGGGCAGGATCCCGTTGAGTACGACATGGGCTGGGGTAGCGTGGCGTGGAAAGCATGCACACACAATGTGTCTTAAGATCTCTCCTGGTGAGCTGCTCGTTGGCGGAAGGGGAGGAGCGGGGAACAGGAAAATCGACAAAGGTTACTTACTGAAAAGTTGTTAACCGCACGCCGCCGACTAGCGTGGAAAAGTGTCACGGGAGAAAAGGTATGACAGGCAAACACGACATCAAATGACGAACTGGATGCGACCGTCTGGATGGCACGTGCCACGGCGGAAGCCCCATGGAGAAAACCAACTGTGCATTTTTGACTGGGCGCCAACATGAACCAAGGGAGCCTCAGAAAGGCAACTCGTGACACGTGTCACCGAGGAAACCGCTAGAGGAAAGCCAGCGATTCCTCAGAAAAGCAACGGGCGATACGTGTCACCGCGGAAACCGCTTGGAGAAAACCAAACGTAATCGTTTGATTCTCGGCGCCAACATGAGCCAGGGAATCTTCGGAAGAAAAGCAGGTGACACGTGTCGCCGCGGAAACCGCTTGAGGAAAACCAATGGTACACTTTTGAATCTGGACGCCATCATGGGCCACGGGCGCCTCAGAAGAGCAGCGGGCGACAAGCTCCCGCGGGGGAGGAGGGGGGAGGCAAAGAAGGGGGCGTGGGGAACATGAAGATATACCGTTGCCGGGTCAAAACTGACCCAAGATCGGGGAGAAGGCGACAACCCAAAAATCTGCAAGGATGCCCGAGGGGCCGTGCAACGCCATTGCGCGGCAAGAAACGCGCGGGGATGCGCCCGCCCAAACGAGAACATGGGCAAGGATACGGAGGGATCCCCAAGGGTACCCTTGCCTCCCCCATCCCTGCGACGCCGCCGTGCAACGGGCTTCAACCCCAAACGGCAAGGATGAATGTGCCGCCAAGGGTACCCTTGGACGGCAGGGGCAGCAGCCAAGGATGCCGGGGAAGGACGATGGCTTGACGTCTTGTGGCTTGGGGCGCCTTAACCGCGCTAGTGGGCCAAATTTCCTGGTGGCACCACCTTTGATTGCACGGTGGGCGACCGCGTCCGTCGTGGTCGCGTTTCACGTCGTCTGCGGGCGGGCCCCGCCACTTGCCATTCAGAACCTGCGGCGCAGATTCCGTGACATTGCGGGTGGGTAGGATTCGTCCACCCTTGAGTCGCCTTTCGCAGTTCTTGTCCTGCTCCACGACCCGCGCACCAGTGGTGGCGATGCATGCGGCCTGTAGCTGGGAGCGCGGCGAGGGCCGACAACGCAAAACAAAAGCCGACCCCGAACTGGCTACGCATGCTGGGCGTGTGTATCATTACCGCAGTGTCGTACGGGTCGAACATTGGAATGCCCCTGCACCCGTCCACTCAGCCTACCCCCTATGACCCGCGCAATTACGGGAAAAAAACAAGAAAATTTCACTTGGCGTTTCAATTCATGGGTAAATCAATTTCGTAGTGATGCAGCGGTATAAGAAACGAGAACCGCATTTCGAAAACCACCCGCCGTCAATCCGTGAAACCCTTGCAAATTGTTTAAACGAATGCGCGCGGCGCGAAGGCGAAAAACACAGTTTGAAAACCAGTCGTTTTCAATCCGTGAAGCTCTTGCAAATTTTGAAAACGAATGTGCGCGGCGCTAAGGCGACAGCCACATTTTGAAAAACACCCGCCCTCAATCCTTGAAACTCAAGCAAATTACGAAAACGAATGTGAGCGGCGTTAAAGCGAGGGCCACACTTTGAAAACCACTCGCCCTCCATCTGTGAAATTGTCGTTACTTTCAAGCATCAGAATCTCAAAGGGTGAGGAAGTCTTGGGCGAAACGCCCGGCCCGCCCCAAAAACTGGTCTCGGGGTGCGGCAGGAAGAAGTTATCTATAAGGAGAAGGAGTGGAAGAGGAGGAAGAGGGAAGAGTTTTTTTTCCTCGGAGGCCCACGAGGCAGAACAGGGCAATCCCGCCTTGACCCGATTGACGGGCGGCACCTGCGGCTTCTTCCCGCGCTCGGACGCGGGCCGCTAGCGCCTCCATGCCAGGGGTTGACACGAGGCGCGAGCGCGAGGCAGGCGGCTTACCGCTCTGTGCGGTCGCTGCCTCAAGAATGGCCTCGGCAGAACGGCGGCAGGAGTCCACTACACGATTCTCATTGTAATAGTGCGGATGGAGCCCCTGCTTGACACGAAACAGGGTCTGAGCTCCGCTCTTACCCCGCTTCCCAAGACAACGCTCGGCCAGCAAAACACACCTTTTCGACGAGCAGGCACCACACCTGTAGCAAAACACTAAGGGCTCTTGGTCCTCGTTGTCAATCATGGCACGAGTTAGGAGGTGTCCCAGCGACTCGGCATCCTTAAGACTACGAAGAGGAGGACGAGGGGGTCGGGTCGCCCGAGCCCTTCGGGGAAAACCCTCCACGGGTGCCCGGTCCGGCCGGCTTGGAAGGGGAAGGGGGGAGGCCCGGGTCCGCCCTCACTCGGAGACCCAGAAAATGACCCACGCCACGAGAGTGTATACACAGACGCCCTCCGACGAACTTCGCATGGAGGGGACGGTGGGAAGTCGGTGGCTCCCAGTGGTGATCTATGCACCGCCACCCCCTTCCCTGAGGCCGGGGAGCAATCCCGTGGAGAGGGTGTCCGTGCATGTTTTTTTTCGTAGCGGAGGACCACTTTGTGATCTTGGCTTTGTTCCCCCTCGAGCAATAATCTCGAGCCCCCAGGAAAGTATCGAAACAGTGTCGAACGAGTATCGCCTCCCAGGGCCCGACACGAGAAAACCCTCAAGTTTCGGTACGTCCTTGGTGCTCGATCTTCTTTCTGGTGATCAAGGCTGAAGTACATTGGAACATCGTAAATCTTGGCCTCAGACACGCTGGTTGACCGTGCGATGCCCTCCGGACAACGCGCCGCCGGCGGGCGGCGGCCGGGCCCGGAGAGCACCCCGGGGCAGCTGGCCTCAGACGAGGCGGGCGGCCGCTCGCCTCCCCCGCACCTCTGCCGGTGGGGGAGGCAGGCCTCCTGCAGTTTGATGGCCCCCACGATACAGTCTTGGGAACAGCGGTTTGGAGAAGGAGTGGCTGGAAAAGAAGGCCCGCCGCAGCGGGCAGAGACGATATCGATGTAGATCAACGATCGAGCCGCGGAACACTCCGCTGCCTGCCGCAGCGGGCAGAGGAGGACCACCCCACGATACAGTCAACCCGTATCGTAAGGACGCGCAGTGAGGATGCAGGGGCCTCGAAGGCCCCTGTGCAAGTTTTTTTCGAGCGAGGCCGGCCAGCACAAGTGGCCAAGGATGGGCCGGAGGGGCAAGGATGCAGCAAGGGTGCCCTTGGGAAAATGTTGCCCGTTCTTCTTCTCGGGCGCGCGCAAACATGGACTAGCGATCCATGGATTTGGCGCGCGGTCGCCAAATGCATGGATCGGGGGAAGGTGCCCTCCCCAAAGTGCGGCCGGTGCCGCCTCGCTCGTCGGCGGCAATCCGCGATTTCCCATGGAAACGGCGCCCGTCGCTAATCCACGCCCCCTTGATCCATGTTTGCGATCGCCTGACCTTGGGAAAAGGTAACCCGTTCTTATTCTGCGGGTTGGCTGCACACCTGCAGACGAGGGAGGCGCGGCCAGAGGCGGGCCTGAGCGGCTCCGTGGCCTCCTCCCCCTCGCCAGCTCTGGAGCGGTACGGATGCCGGAGAGACTCGGCAAGAGAGGAGGCGAGAGAGGCTCGGCAATCCCAGACGCGAGGGAGGCGTCGGGCAGCGTGGGCCCATCGCGGTTTCCCCCGAGGCCGTAGGCGACCCGAGGAGGAGGAGGAGAAGGAGGAGGAGGAGGAGGAGGAGGACGAGGAGGAGGAGGAGGAGGAGGAGGAGGAGGAAAAGGAGGAGGAGGAGGATGAGGAGGAGGAGGAGAAGGAGGAGGAGGAGGAGGAGCCCCCCCCCCCTCCCCTCCTGCCCCCCTCCTGCCCCCCCTCCTGCCCCCCTCTTCCCCGGCACCGCGCGCACCGCGGCCGATCCCGCGGCGGCGCCTGGTGTGGAAACCCGGCGCGGCGTTGGAGCCCGCGCCCCGCGCGGACAACTGGCGGGGCGGCGGGGCCCCCGCGCGGCAGGGGCGCGTGCCGCGGCGGCCAGGGGCGCTGGCCGCCGACGTTCGCTCTCGCGCCGTGAAGCCGATCGTGGCGGGCGGTTTGCTCGTCCGGAGAGCAGCGGCCGAGCGGCCTCACTGGGAATCGGCGCGGGGGGGCGTTGTCAAGGAGATACAATCATCGGCCTGACCTAAGGAACGAGGAATAAGGAACCAAACCCATTTTCCCCAAGAAATGACTCAAAAGGAACGACACGTAATACAAAACTCCTAAGGAACGATACGTAACGCATGCAAGCCTAAGGAACGACCGAGTAAGTGTTCCTGGTTCAAGTCTCTCACTGTAGTGTGGTTAGCGGCGGGTGCCTTTTAAATCTGGCCCGACCTTGCCTCACAAGTGGGTTTCAGATACCCCAAATGGCTCATTGGGCACGTAAGAGAACTCCGCTAAGTGGGCGGAGCCCACATAGCCCGGATCGGTAAACCACCGAAGTCATTTAGGGTATTGTAACCTCCTTACACGCTAGGTTAGTCCAGATATAACCCACCTTGACATCCACTAGCCACCACCCTATCCCCCTGGCAACCCCCGCGCCGATCCCAATACAACATCCCTGGGTGCGTGGGTGAAGCGATATCCCGCTGCCAAATCTATGCTTGATTGTTGTCTGTTGTTTGTTGCTCGTTGCTTATGGTTTGTCGTCGTCGCCTCCCCGACACACCCGCGATCCACCCGCGACCAACCGCGCGGCCCACCCCGTGACCCATTATGCGATCCACCCGCGACTCACCCACGGCCCACCCGCGACTCACCCCGCGCCCGCCCCCTCACTCTTGCTCCAATTCCGGGGTGTTATGTGTGTTCGGCCTCTGGGGGTTCGGGGCCGTCAGAGCAAGGAGCAGTATGAAAACACACAACTGTCCCAGGAAGGAGGACCAGACCTCAGGGGGCCCACGTGATGAGAATGACGCCGTGTGGATCGTTCAACCTTGAACGATCGGCTGATTTCGATCGCCAAATCATTCCATATCGGCCAATTCTGGGCCACTCGCGGCGTTCAACCTGGAACGCCCGCGGCGAGGTCGCTGCAGCGTCGGCACGGCACGAACCTGCCGTCCACACTCCCCCCTCCTCTGGGCCTCTTCCTCCTTCTCCGAGGATCGGGAATCGAACAACGAGGATCCAAGCTGTCGGCCGTTCCGAACGTTCTGGCGCCCCCCGCTTCTGCGGCTGCGTTCCCCTCGAGATTCTGGCCAGAGCGCGCCCCTGGAGAGGTCCAGGGGACGACTCTGGAACCCCGACCCCGAGCCCCCTCGCGCTGAGAGACAGAAGCATGGCTGATGCTTTTGTGCTGAACAGGTCGGCCTCTGCTGAACTGGACGGGCCCAAGGACTCTCAGAATAATGATCAGGATGGAGAGCTGGACCCCATGAAGGTCAGGTGCTCGTGATGGGGACTCTCCTGGAGCCACTCGCTCATCTCATGCGTCGATGCTGCGTCAAACGTCCGTACTTAGGTCGAATTTGAGTCGAACCTGAGACGAGCTAGAGTCGGGCCTAAACCGCACTCGAATAACAAAAAGAGTCGAACAAGTCCGTCCGGTGGGCCTCAAGACGGTCCGCACATGGAGGAACAACAAACAGCATAAACATAAATGTTTGACTGTCCGCACGGATATCTTGGATCTGCGCTGGGTCCCCCTCCCTGGCGCGCGGAACGCGACAGAGGCGGTGCCGGAGGTGCCGCCAGGGCGCTCCGGCGCAGATCACAGAAAGCCGCGCGAACCGTCGAACATTTATGTCGATGCTATTTTTCCTTCTTCGAGCAAAGCCAGCATCTAGGGAAGGGGTCGAGACCTCTGGGAGGCCCACGCAGGAAGCCTGGAAGCCGCGACGCCCGGGGGCCACGATGCACTCTCCTCCTCCCTTGCCGGCGCGCACAAAGGGGGAGATGGAGGGGGGATCGCTTCTTTGAAGGGGCTGCTTCCGAGAAGGCGCCGGCCTTACAGTTTTCGACAAGGCCCGCGCCTTCTCAGAAGCAGGGGTGTTTCGAAGACGCCTTCCCCCCTCCCCCTACCCCCCCTGCGCGTGGACGACTCCCACCACTGGCCCCCTGCCCTCGCCCCCCCCCTCCCGGACTCCCCGGAAGCGGAAGCGGAAGCGCAACGCCGGAGTGGTGCGCGCTAAGATCAGGTCGGCCATGTCCTCCGACAGGCGGGTTTTGGAAGAAAAATAAAACAATCAACACAGAAGCATAACTAGTCGAAACAGGACGAAACATCGTCACCTGACTATGTTTCCCATTCTTGCAAGAATTCCTCCTGTAGAGGGACATGCCCGACTTAACGCTACGACGTGCGATGGGGGGCCCGCCCGTGCCCATCGGGGCACGGCGTGGATGCCGTAGCCTGGATGAGGAGGAATAGGCGGCCACCTCCTTCCAAATTTGTCCGATCGCACTTTCCTGTGTTCGGGGGGGTGACCTTACGAGGCAGTTCCTGGGAGGCCTGCGTAAGAACCATTCATAGAGGCCTCCTAGATGGGGTCGGAGTAGATGGGGTCGGAGGACCGCGCCGCATCGGCGATGCATCGGCGACGTCGGCGTGGAGAAATGTAGGCTCCACATCGAGCCGCATCGGCGATGCGGCGTGGAGGCCTAGAATTAAAGGGCTACAGAGCCAGATCCGCCACCGTGCCCTGAGGCACGAGTTGGAGTGTCATCAGGTCCCTTCGACTTCACTCGGCTGAGTTCTGCGAGTATGGTCCCACCACCGGGTGCGTTCCTCGGCGCTCTTGGGCGCGCCTGGGGGGTCCCCGCGTGACTTTTCGAGCGGCCGAAGAGCGCGTTGTTCAGGGGATGTATGTCCAGTATGGTTTCAGATGGCCCTGGGGACCGTCCTGGAGCGTTCCTCGGCGCCTCTTGGGCCGTCCCGGAGCCCCTGTAGTGCAGCCATCAAGACCAACACTGTCCAAATCCATTGGTTTTTGTATGGTGTTCGCATTACCACCATTTCTGTCTTCAGAGCGTTCAAGACGGCCCAAGAGGCGCCAAAACGGCCCAAAAGCCTACGAGAGTTGCGACTTGCACGTCCCTCTACAGGAGGCCACAAGGTGGGGTCGCCCAAATGTCCCCTGAACCATCCCAGGGTCTCGTTTGTTTGGTCTCTGAAACTCCCACGTTTCCACCTCTTGGGGAACCTTTTGGGAGGTGGGGCGTTCATTACTAGATGACGTCCAAGGCGTCACAGTACTTGCGAGAGGAGTACGAGGTGGAGCATAGGAGGAGGATTGTATAGCAGCGATAAGAGGAAACGAATCATGACGAGGAGGATGAACCGAGAAGGTGATACGCAGGAACGCTTGGAGGACGAGGACTCACAGTGCACGGCAGGGCGCGGCAAGTACACAAGGAGGAACGCGAGGATGAGTAGGAAGGAGAATCATCAGGAGGAACACGGGGAGGAAGAGGCTGAGAAGGGAAGGGCGCCGAAGGAGACGGAACGGAGCTGGAAGATCAGAGAAGAAGGGCGACGAAAAACGAGGACGGGGCTGTGCCGAGCCCACCGTCCTCCTATACACTGCGTCGGGGGGTGCGCCGAGCCCTATCCCCGCGTCGGGGGCTGTGCGCGTCGGGGGTTCCTACGAGCCGATAGGCCCTAGGAGCCTCTCTCGAGAGGCCACGGGAACGAGGTCCGAGGAGATGAGCTTTGACCAGGGAAGGGGAATGCTAAGGGTCCAGACGGTCCTCTTCGTCGTCCTTGTGCCCTCCTTTTTCACCTTCCCCTGCCATTCCATACCCTCGTATCCCTGCCCATGTTCCTCCCCCTGCTCCCCTTTCCTCATTTCCCTCAGCATGCGTACTCCAATTCCACGCGGTCCTTCCACTGAACACCACACGGCTCCTCCCATCATTACTCTACCTCTTCCTAACACGCTGCATCCCCCTTCTTATCGAAGGCCGAGTTCCCAAGATCGAGGGTGCAAGATCCAGAACAACAAAACAGGATGAGCACTGGATGGCCCAGGATCCAGAGCAACAAAATAGGATGGACATAAACGGAGACAGGACGAGAATACTCACGGCCGTGGCCCTGGTCAGAGCCAGGTGGGCCACGGGAGATCCCTGCCAGGTCGGCCACGGGCGAACGTGCGGGGCACCGCAGACCTTGTGACTCAGTATTCGTGGCTCCTTGCTCCTCGCTCGCTTCCTGGCCCCTCCCTCCTCCCACCCCTCCTCCTCCTGCTCCGCCTCCTCCTCCTCGTCCTCATCCTCCTCATCCTCCTGCCCCCCTCCTTCTCCTCATTCTCCTCCTCGTTCGAGTCACTATTGCGGCTGCGGCCCCCCAAAAAAGAAAGAGCGCGCTGGAGCTCTGCTGCCTCCTGGGTTGTTTGCTGCTGTTGCTCCTCATCTTTCCCCCCACTCCTCCCCCTCCTCCTCCTCCTCTTCCTCCTTCTCCTCCGTTGCAGGCCCGGTGCGCTCTGCGAAGAGAGCCGCGCGCCTGGGCCTTGCCCTGAAGGGCGAGCTTCATCTTCATGGCGACGGGCGCGAAGACCGCCTTCGCGGCCTGCTCGCCGCCCATGTCCCGACAGAACGCCTTGGCAGCCATCGCGTGCCTGCGGAGCTCTGCCTTCTGGATGCTCGAATTGCCGGCCTTGTCCAGAATGAGGCGCTCCGTGTACAGCGCGCTCAGGTCCGCTCGCAGCTGCATCATCTCGTCCCATTTGACGACAAGCATCTTCACGGACGCGAACAAGTCGTCGTGCTGGCGTAAGACCTGGCCGACCTCCTCGCACTTGGCCTACAGTGCGTCCAGGTTGACGTTCGCGTGGAAGTCGCGAGCCTGCTTCGTCTCGAGCAGCTCAGCCCACTTCACGTCGGCGCTCAGGCCATCGTGCCAAGTCGGCACCGTCGAGCTCTTCATGCCGTATATCTTCTCCGCGTCCTGCATGGCATTGAGGTTCTTCTCCTTCAGGTTCTTGATGAGCGCCGTGGCGACCTCCTGCTTGGTCTGCACGGGGCGCTCGTACTCGCTGCGGCCGAATTTCGGGCCCCCCCCGCCCCCCTTCGACGTCTGGATCGCACTCTCGAAGGAGGTCAGGGCCCGGCCGAGCTCCAGCAAGCGAGGCGTGCGCTGCTCTGACTTGGACCGTGCATCCGCGTCTGGGCCCATCGCCATCACGCACTTGGTCACCTCCATCATGTTGACGAAGTTCTTTGCTGCAACCACAATGCCCTCGGCGTACTTGCCACGCTTGATCATGATCTGTTCCGTGCTCGCCTAAGGAACGGGACCATCTGTCCGACAGCGCTCGTAATTAGGTGGACCGCATCGACGTGCTTACCATCCGTGTCTGAAGACTCTCCTGGGGCTTGCTCGCTGTCCCTCTCGGCCACCTCGATCATGTGCTGCGAAGCGTGCTTGGCAGCATTCGAGATGGAGACGAGGGCTGCCGGGGGAAGGACCTCCCCTTCCTGGAGCTGGCCCAGCACGTTCTCCAGCCTGGCCAACGTCTTGATGTCCTTCGTGGTCTGGTACTCGATGCACATGTCGTTGATATATGCTACCCTCTTCTCCTGATCGAATGAGCCGATGGCGCGGTTCAACTTCTCGATGTAGTCCCTCAGCTCGACCTTATCAACGAACACTTCCCTGGCAGTAGTAAGCCACTCCATCAGCCCAATGATCGTAGTCATGCGATCCGATGTGATCTCTCTCCCTGGGCTCTTCTGGGTTCGACTCCTCGCTGTGGCCAGCCTGGGCCTGATAGGTGCTCATCACCTGCGCCCAGAGCAAGTCCCTGACCCGACTGCAGGAGCCCCTGGGCATGCACTGATCCCAGCCCAACAGCTTGGCGCAGACGTTCGTCAACACTGGACGCGTCTCGCGCTCACCACTCTTCGCTGCGAGTTCCATCTTGTTCAGCATGGCCTTCACCTCCTGGTAGTGCTCGTCGTGCTTCGCGCTCGGCTTGGCGCATTCTGCAAACAAGGTCTGCGCGCGATGGCCATCGGCCAGCGACGGCGCGATTATGGAGAAGAAGTCGTCGGCCTGAGCGTTAGCAGCTGGCGGCTGGATCTGTTGAAGAAGGCCCCGCGGGTCCTCGACGTCGGCGCCGACAATGCGCGGACCCACGATGAAGTCCACGCACTCATGAAGAAGAGACATCTGGATACTGAAGTCCACCACCCAGTCCTCCAGCGGCAAGTCCTCTGGCAAACTGAACACCTTCTTCGCTTCGACGTCCACCCCCCTGAGCCTAAGATCCCCCTCAGCGCTGTTCATGCACAAGAGCTTGAGGATGACCTTGCCGAAGTACTCCTCCTTTGCGAAGTCGTAGTAAGCCGTCTTCCCAACTTGCTTCGCGATCGCGTGGTGCGGCAGGTTGAGCGCATCGAAGGTGTGCTTCTTGTTGTTGCCGATCGGGTCGGGTACGCAGACGAGCTCGGTCAACGCGGGGTCGCTCTTTGAGGAGAGCCGCAGCGCCAGGTCAGACAAAGCCTGGAACTTCTTCAATGTCAGACCCTGCTTCGTCTAGGGCAGCCACGCTGGATGCGGTCTGACTGGCTCCAGCTTTTCGATCAGGGCCCTCAGCGCGTCGTCGGACATGAGATGGACTTGCGACGATGGAGGCTTCAGGCTGTCGTTGAACAAATCGATGTGCTTCTCAAGCCTGTCGGCATCCGTGGTTTTGCCCTCCCTTGTGCGGCAAAGCTTGGCCTGGCCGACCTCCTTGGGCACGGTGTTGCCACCTGCGCCCTGCGCCAAGCCGAGGACTTTTATCCAGTACTTCGGGGTCTTGGCGTAGTAGCCTCCAGCCATCTTCTTCAAAATGCCATCCTTCTCGATGGCCTTAATCGCAGCAAGTTCATCCTCACGGGCAGGAGGACTTGGCGACGGCAATCGGTCTTTCGAACCCGATGCGGACGCCTTCGATGCGGACTTCGGCTGATCACCCAATCGAAGAGAATCCCGCTGGGAGCCAGGGGTGCTCGGCGGAGCCGCGGCCGAAGAAGCAGCAGCTCCAGGGGACTTCATAGTCAGAACCGTCGTCATGGAAGCTCGCGTCGTCACCATCACCTTTTTTAGTTGGCTTGCCTTTCTCAGCAGGCCTCTTACTAGTCAGCTCGTCGCGCTTCTGCCTGGTGGTCCTGCTACGTATTTCAAGCTGATTCCACGTCTTCAAACCACTCGGCATTCGCATGTTGCCGCCTCCGAAGTCATCGATGTCGAAGGCCCGCTTGACGTTCGGCGCGATCTGCACGTCGTTCACGTTCTCACGCGAATCCATCACTGGAATACCGCTCTTCACGGCGATGTCGGCGTAGAAGTAGATCTTCTGCGGCGCCCCCTCGACGGCCACGTGGTAACCGGGCGCAACCTCAATGCCGTTCTTGTCCAGGAGCTCCACAGGCTTCATCCCGAGGCACTTCGGAGTGACCCCGCTGCAGCGCCTCTTGATCACCTGTCCGGTCGCAAGCTCGGCCTCTTGCTCTCTTGCTCGATGCGGCAACCGATGTGGGCGACCTTGCTGACGTCCTGCCCCATCGTCTCCCTCTTCCGTTTGCCAGCTGCCACCTCCATAGCCTTATCGCACACATGGTGGAAGGCAAGCACGTCCTTGCCCAAGTCGAGGAATTGCTGCCAGGTCATCCACGGAAAGAGGACCTCCTTCTGCTTGTAGCATTCCTCGGGCCCCACGCGGGTCGAGAGACTGGATCTTGAAGGGGCGGTCCTTGGGGAGTCGGACATACTCCCCCCAGCAAGCTGCCCCCCCCCCCCCCTCCCCCAGGGTTCACATCGGTGCGGACCCGTGCACTTTTCGCCGCGTATCCTGCAAGAGTGCTTGGTGCGTGCTGTATACACTCGTGCGTATGCACATGTACATGCGTGGTCCTCCCTTAGCCAAGGGTTGTCACGGGGGTTCAGCGATTGGCATGGATGGGGATGGATCGGTTTGGGGGTCGGGGATGTTTACAATAACAATGTCCTTGGAGCAATTGCAGCACTTGGCGCAGAAGCAGGGGCGATCACCGAGAGGCCGTTGCTGAGGCGGATCGGTCTGCGCTTTCTGGTCCGCCTTGGGCTCCTTCTGCCCCGTCTTGCCACCCATTGTTGGGAAGCGCAAGGTCGTCTTGGCCCCTTGCTAGGCAGAGGTCTCGATCATAAAGCCTTCAAGCCTTAGGGCCAACAACAGCTGAGGAACGGATGCAAATCAAAGCGCCACCACGCAGTGGGTGGACCCCAACAGAGAGGAGGGATGCAGCGAGGTAGACTACAAGCGCTTAGATTCTATGAAGGTCAGTGGCTCTACCAGCCCCACCCCCATCCCCCAGATGTGAAACGGCACGCCCTCGAACGCATTTTCGCCCCCCGAACAGCGAGTACATCGCACATGAGCGCGACGCCAAACAGTCAGGCTGCAGCATCTATCTACTTGGCGGGGTTGCGTCCCTTCAATTTGCGAAGCCACACTCCGCGCGGTCGCTTTCTGTAACGTTGCCGAGAGTGCCGATGGTGGCACGCGCATGGTCCGTCGGCTCACTCTGTCGATGGACCATCTGCATGACAACAGCGGCCCTGCTTTGGAATCCAGCCAGGAGGCTTCGGCTTGGGCGGCGTCGCGACTTTCTCTGGATCTGGGATCTCCCACGGGTCGACTTTCTCCTTGGGGCAGGCGGACTTGTCGGATGCCATGTAGCCGTCGTCACTGTCGTCGATCACAATGACAGCTGTGCACGATAGCATGGATCGCCTACCAGAAGATCGGACCGTCCTCCACTCGCACTTGAAGGTCTCCCCGATGAGCCGACTGTGACTAGGAGGAGTGCCCTTCATGGTCGGCCGAGAAACTTGGATAACCACAAGGTGTTCCCCAACACCCTGGTGATACACCACTTGGGCCAATCAAATCGGCGCCAGATCAGTCATGCATGATTGCGAGGATCCAACATTTCAGCGCATGGTTGGATCGGGTCACCCAGGGTGGCACGTGCCCTCCTGGAGCCAATTGAGTATTTGACCTTTGGGCCGTCTGGGGCCCCAATGACCTGAAGATGTCATGCTTTTGTTTTTTCTTTCAACTAGCGAATGGAACCCCATGGGGCTCCAAAGAGACCTCATGAAAGGACGCATGTGGACCACCATAGGGCTTCTTGGGCCAATATGGATTGGGCCCTGGGGGTGTTATGGTTACGTAGGGTTTGGTTTGGGGCTGAATGAATAACGCAGCTCCTGCTTGCAGGACCCCATGGCCTACCAATCACTACTTCGCCCGCAGCTGCGTGGGCCCCTCCCCCCACCCGGTGCAAGTTTCCGATATCTCAAAACGCTTGCGCCTTGAACGAACGGAGGGGGGGGGGGCGCTTAGAGCACGCGGCCCGACGCTTGACGGAAGGGAACGCGCGCTCTGAGACCGACCGCGTGGGGTCGGCGCGGCGCGCTGGACGCCTCCGAGACCTTGGGCGTCTCGCGCGTTGCCTCCCCGAAAGTCTCCGAGAGGACCTTGAACCTCTCCGGCTCTCTCTCAGCCGCGCTGTCTTGGTTTCCTGTAGGTCCCTCGGGATGTTGGAAAACACGGGTTTCAGAACCTGGGGAGGTTCAATAGCGGACTCGGAACCTGGGGCCTTGACCGAGAGGTGATTCAAGAGGCGAGACAAAAAACTTCCCGAGCGCTGATTCATTGGTATTTAACGACTACGAGAGGACTTTTGAAAATTGCACCGCGAGGTGGCTCAGGTTCGAGACAATGAACGAGAGGACTTTTGAAAATTGCCCGTTTAGGTAATTCACGCACAAGAGGAGGTTCAAGAGCGAATCGTGGACATCTGCGGTTGCCCTGGTTGACCACCAGAGCGAGATTCAGGGGCCCGCAGAAAATGAATCGAAAGCGGCCGATGCCTCAAGAGGTGGTTTCAGAGTCTGGCCCAGAGCGCCTGGAGATCCCAGGGGCGGTTTCTGAGACGCGGCTGGCCTTGCCCTGCCTCGCGGTCGATTGGGCCCCAGGGGTCTTTCGATAATGTCAAAATTGGGGCGGGGGCCTCCTGGGGCCCTCTTGGGGCCTCCTGAGGCTCTTCAGTGATTAACGACATCCAAAGTGCTATCGTAGTATGGTTGGCCCAGCTGGTCCAAAGTCGACAAATGCTGCGACACCTGGGATGTGCACCAGCTTTGCGGGCCTCAGTGGGGCACACACTCCGGCTCCGACTCCTCGCCTGTGTGCCGTGGCCGCTCGCACTCAAACAGCCCAACCAGGCCTCCGTCGTCGCGCAATGCGCTGCGTCCTAGCAGGCGCCTTGCACGAGAAAAACCACGCACCATCGCCACATGCGCAGCTTTGGAATCAACGCCTGCCTCAGTCGCAGAAAGAATGAATGCCCCAACGACGCCAAGGCAACGGCCCTGGCCTTCACGACCCGGCTGATTGCTCGGATCGCACACAGCGCCCGTGCGCTTTATTAGGGCACTTGACATCAACACAAGTTTTCTTTCTCAGCGCATTGTAGCGCGCAGAAATGCGACTACCTCGAAACCAAAAGATCCGAGACCCACCGTGCACTAAAGGCGACGCCCAGTCTGGAGGAGGAGGAGGTGGAGGAGGTGGAGGATGTGGCGGGTCATCGGCAGGCGGCGGAGCGTGGGCCTCCGCGCCAGCGCCTGGTACATCAGGCGCTTCAGCAGGCAGAGGTGCGCAAGCTGCAAACCCATGGCCGAAAGCCTCAAGCATCTCCTCAGGAGTAAGAAGGTCATCACAGCCATCTCCTTCTCCGTGAGGGGCGGCGTCGGCGCCGGCTGCACCATCAGGTCGTTCCTCAGGAATGCCGATGTGCATGGCGACGTCGTCGAAGGCCATGTCGCCCCAAAGGGGCCCGTCCTCGTCGCGACCACCCAAAGCAATGTCGATCGCCTCTTCGAGCGTCACGGCCTTGACCTCATCGTCGCTCATGGCAGCCTGCTCGCTGCCCTGTCCCTCTGATGCCTCTCCGCCATCATCGGCGGCAGGTTCACGGTCGCCGCCGTGTCCAGCATCGGCGTCGGGGCTTAGCCCCTCGTCATGATCGCTCGACTCCTCTTGGAGAATTCGAAAGGAGAAGGGAAACACCACATGAGCAGGTGCCATAAATGGGCACTGGTGTAGCCTAAAGACCCTTCTGTGAACCCGATGGGACCCTATGGGGCCAGTGGGACCCGCGCTTATGGAACCTTGCGATGGGCCTAACTGTGAGACTTGATTTCAATGAGCTGTGGAGCTCACACCCGCATGGCGCGGCAAGTGTCGCGTCGGGCCTTCATGAATTTGATTGGGCTCGCGTTGCAAGAGACATCCGACCCAATCGAGAACAACCCAGAAGCATATTTCAACGAAGAGCTAAACCATCGCACTGGTGGGGAACATCAAACCTTTTCCACGTATTGGTGTTTGGGGACCTCGGCGCCCTAAAACCCAATGCTCGGGGGCACCTCGGGCCCGCCCAAAACCGCCGCCCTCCCAAAAAAACAACCTGCCCCCCCCCCCCCCCCCCCCCCCCCCCCCCCCCTCCCCCCCCTCCATTCCTCCACCGCGACCCGTTCCCGAGGGGGGGGGGGGGGGGGGCTTCGAACGAGCAGCCCCCTTCCCCTCTCGACCCACGGTCCTCGTCAACATCCCTTCCCGCATGTCCTCGCCCACGGCCTCGGCCACCTCGGCCTCGAGCTGCATCCCTACCACGTCCGCGTCCGTGGCGCCCTCCGCGACCCCGCCCACGTCTTTCTCGAGGTCGAGGTCCAAACCCCTTCCAGAATCGAAGCTCCCCGTCATCGTCTCCTCCAAGACGCAACGGTTCGATGATATGCTTCTTAGGTACGAAATGCTGCTTCAAGATAAGCTCGTGATTGTTCACGAGCTTGTGCAGCATAGCGTCATGTGATCTATCTTCTCGCAGAGTGCAACACCAATCGTGAAGTTCGAGATGGTCGTTCGCCCCATGCACCTCCACAGCGACGTCATGCAAGAAAGGCGCGTGCATATCATCGCAGGTCATATCTTGCAGCATGACGTCGCACGGTGACAACGTAGTGTAACTGAGATACCAGAAAGATACATCCTCCTCCATCGCTATCGCATTCTCCATGGCCACGTCGTAATCGGACTCGTCGCTGTCTGGCGGGAAGAAAGGCTGCAGTGGCAAGCTCCTGATTCAGACAACCAGCATACCTGTCAAGAGCAAGTTGCGCCAAGACGCATCACGCGGTGTCTGCCCGTTCAAGAAACGGAGGAAAGCATGGCGACGGCAATGCAATCGTTTCCCGGATGGCGTGCAGAAGCAGCGGTCCCACGTGCACTTCGCGCTGGGCTCCTTCCCCGGTGCGATCGGAAGAGATATTGGGCCAGCAGGCTTACATATCCAATTGTGATATGCATCCAGAATTGCACCCAGACCGTTCCTCGAAACTGTAGAGTTGAAGCTCGTCGACAATGGCAAGCGCCTGCTTGCCTGGGGTACCCAAGTACATGAACCATGGGACTGTCGTGCTGGTCGGCATTGGCGTGAGATCTCCTCGGTGCGGCTGCAATGTCTGCGACGCCGTGCAGGTAGCATTCCGCTCTGCATTGCCAGCGCGCCCCCTGAATTTGACCAGCTCCTCCTTGTTATTCTGTCTCTCCTGCGCCTCATCCCGACGCCTCGACGAAGGTGTAGTTTTCGGGCCCG